CTATGTCCTCCTTGTTGTTGCTTTTAATTCCCTAGTTGTTCCCCTGCCTTTGGCGTTGTTTGTTCACTGCTCCTAAGTCCCTCTGGAACCTTTGGTCCTGTTGCCTTTTCCTTGGGCTTGAATCCCATGCCTATCTTATATAGACAGGAAAACAATAACATAAACAATACAAAAAGAAAACAAAAAATGAATAAAAAGGGAAAAAAACAAATTAAAAAATATATCTATAAAGAAAAATAATAACTAGCAAAACAAAAGCAAAAAAGTACTTTGTGATCATCCTTTTAATCTCGTTGGAGTCCATTGTGATTACCCAGGCTTCATCCCTCATCCTGCCTAGTGATGATTGCTCCTTCCTTTCCTTGGTTAGGCTTGCCAGCAGTCTGTCAATTCTGTTGAGCCTTTCAAAGAACCAGTTTTTTGCTGCCATGTTTTTGCACTGTTTTCTTATCTTCCCACTCATTTAACTCTGCCCTGGTTTTTATTATTTCTTTTCTTTTGTGATTGGAGGGGTTGTTCTGTTGACTCTGTTCTAGTTCGTGGAGGTTTTGTGATAGCTTATCAGTCATAAGTCTCTGTTCCTTTTTTAATATGCATTAATCACTATCAAACTTCCTCTGATAACTACTTTTGCTGTATCCCATAGGTTTTGGTAATGTTGTATACTCGTTCTCATTAGTTTCTAGAAACTTCCTAATTTCCTCTCTAATATAGTCCATTACCCATTTGTGTTGCAGAAGATCGTTATTCATCCTCCAATTGTGTTTCCTTGTTTTTCTGTTCCTTCTTTTGTTGATCTCCAGTTTTATGGTGTGGTGGCCTGAGAGGGGGGTCTGAATAATCTCTATGTGTTTGAATTGTATCAGGACCAGCTTGTGTCCAAGCATGTGGTCTATTTTCAAAACTGAGCCATGTGCACTTGAAAAGAATGTGGATTGTTTTGTATTTGGATAGAAAGCTCTATAAATGTCTATCAGATCCAGTTGCCTAATTGTAGCGTTTAGCTCTGTAGCCTCCTTGTTTAACTTCTATGCTAGTGATCTATCTTGCTCTGATTGTGGTGTATTAAAGTCACCTACTATGATCATTGAGTCTGTGATTTCTTTTTTCATCTTTTGAACAGTTTGTTTGACAAATTTTGTAGGTCTCTCATTAGTCACATATATATTTATTATGCTCACTGGTTCCTCATCTACTGATCCTTTGGACATTTTATAGTACCCATCCTTGTCTCTTGTTATGGTTTGCACCTTGAGATCAATTTTGTCAGACATTAGGATTGCAACCTCTGCTTTTTGTAAGTTGCTGTTTGCCTGGTATATTTTCTGCTGACCTTTTATTCCTAGTCTATTTTGTCTGCAAGCTTAATCTGTGTCTCTTGCAGGAAACAGATTGATGGGTTATATTTTCTGAGCCCATCTGCTAACCTTTATCTTTTTCTTTCTTTCTTTTTAAATATATGTCTGGACAACTCCCAGGGGCAGTTCCATCCTGCCCTATAAGGTCACTATGAGTCAGAATCAACTAGATGGCAGTGAGTTTGGTTTGGGTAAGTCATGATCCCTGATGTCTAGCCTCCCTCCCTGCTGTACCCTAGTACTATAGCCAAACCAAACTCACTGCTACGAAGTCAATGCAGCAACCTTAATCTTTTAATGGCAAGTCGAAGCCGCTGACATTCAGAGGCATTATCACTATCTGGATTCATTGCTGTCATCCCATACCTTTTGTGTTGGGTGTTTTCCTATCTCCATTCATATCAGTGTGCTGTGCTTGTTTGGAGAGCTGCATTCTTGCCTTTTCCCTCTGAAGCAATGAAGCTTGGTAATTGTTTTCAGCACATTGACTTCTGGGTGAAGTTGAGCTGTTTGATGATCTCTTGCTTGTTCTTGGTAGATGTTAGTCTTCTGACTATAGTGAGTCGACAAAGATTTTTCCACATGGTTCGGTGTCTTATGGCGTATTCTTTGAGTTTTGCCCTGACCTGGAAGACTTTTACCTTAATAGATAATTTGGCAGGGTAGAGGGTCTTGGGCTGTTGTTTTTGTTTCTTTCTGCTTTCAGAAGATATTTCTCCACTC